TAAATGGGGACTTTGACAGAAATATTTAAATCAACGTCATAATAATTTTATAACTATGTTTAAGATAATTCACACCTATTTATAAAATAAATAAGTGGTTAAAAAACGTGCACTTTAGTGGACCAAGACTTACCATCAATTAATCAATAAAAAAAAGGCTTACAAGTAAATAAGTATTAATTAATTAATTAATTAGTTGGAAGAAAACATATCAAATCATACAATTATTTCATTTACTTGTAATCACATTCAATTCCAATTTGTAACTTTTCAAACTCACTTTAACTTTATATTATAGTTTAAAATAAAATGTTACTTCTTAAAACAATTTCAAAAATAAAAACAATTACATTAACTTTGTATATTACTAATATTTTATACATTCTAATTGGTATTATATTATGTATAACTAATACATGATAAATCACGGTATTAGCAATATTAAGAAATTTTAATACACGCATTACCATAATTAAAAACACACAGCTGCTCCTCAAAACTTTTTCCACATCATTTTCACAGTATTTGTGGAGGATATATTTGTAAAACAAATATTTTTTTTAAAGAAATTATTAAACATATGTTAATTTTGGTACATTAAATCAAGTAATACATAAGAAATACTATCAGCTTAACTAATTAATACCAACATTATTAATATCAACCTCATTTTAATATATACACCTCATTTAATATTATTCTCATACACCTTATCAAACGATGCAAATCGTATTTAATTATTAAAAGTGATTTGTCTAAATGCTCTTGCCTCTTCTCTAAAAAGTGAGAATGGAGTTTGTTTATTTATTTGTTTGTTTGTTAATCTATTTATTTATTTATTTATTTATTTGTCTCTTTTGTTCTTTCTCTTTCAATCACAAGAACCACGTGTTGTACTTGCATTTTTCTAGTTGGTCATTACTATTTATTTATGTCGACATGCTAAAAGAATTTTAGAATTTCATCCCCTAAAATTCTTGAATTAATATAAATTATTCTGCGCATTTTATTTTACCTAATAATAGTATTTAGACAAGTTTATCTATACCTCAAATATTTAATTTAATAAATGTGTTGAAATGTTGAATATGTCATAGATTGTAAAAGATAATTAGTACGATCGAACAATAACAAGCATAAAAAAAAGAAAAAGAGAATGATAGTAGAATATTTTTGCACACATATATAAGGAATATAACCGGGTTATTAAATCGTAAAAAAGGCTAAGTTAGTATAATAAATGGTATTTCATAGTGAAGGTCAAAAATCGATTTTTTTTGTCAATATTTTTTTAATCGAGCTCATCGCATTAAATTTACCTAATGCAAACTTAATTCTTTTGTGATGTTTAAGTTTGTGATCTATTGTACAAGAGTAGGTTTACCCTATGCGTATTCAAAGAACAACGGTTGTGGATTCTAGTTAGAGTGTCAAAATATATAAATAGAGAGAGTTTACAAACTATTACACTGAAGCGTACTTATTAATTCAATGTGCATTTAAAGAGTAACAAATGCAAATTTCCCTGCAAGTTCCAAAAATACACAAGTGATTGATTCGTTTTAATTTTTTAATATATTTACTTCTTTATATTTTGATTATTTTTGAAAAAAATGTTCCTCATTCCACCCTTCGTTTGATCCCACTATAAGTATTGTTGAACATAAATCATTAAAATCAAATTACCAAATTGAATTATAATTTTATCAAAATTTAATGGGAAAAAGGTCTGAAATATATTCGAACGTTGATCAAAATTGCTGTAACAATCTCAAACTTTAGGCAGGACCTATTATCGCTTGCACTTTTAATAGTGTATTTTAAAGATATATAAGTGTGTAGCTGGACACATTACTATTTATGATGATGTCATATTTATGATGTCCACGTGAGCACCTATATATCTTTAAAATACACTATTAAATCGTGTGGGGAATAATAGGTCCTACCGAAAGTTTGAGATTGTTATAGCAATTTCGGTCAAAGTTCAGATATATTTCGAATCCTTTTCCCAAATTTAATTTATATTATTGGACCAAACTTTGAAAGTTTGATATTTAATATCTATTTTTATTATATATTATCGAAATTAAAATTTCAAAGTATCGAATCAAATATCAAACGTCTAGTCTAGATCACTCCCCCTCTTTTTGTCATTTTTCTAAACACGCAGATGCTGCGTCATCATAGTATATACTCCTTGTGTATCCTTAACTTAATCTTTATAATTAGTGTTTTTTTAACACCAATAAGGAGCACATATTTTTTCTTTTAAGTAAAATGTAATGATTATTATTTCTAACAAAAAGACAATTTTTTTATTTAATAACTTATAAAGTACACGTTAATTCACCATCACTTTCAGAAGTTGGTTACTTAAAAACAAAATTGTTAGAAATGATAAAGACTAAACTCAAATGAATCACATGATTTATTTTTGTCTTTTCCAATAATCGATCAAATTAATTATTTACTTTTTTCTAGAGAGTATATCGTAGTGATAAAACTTAATAATTTTAATCAAAATTTTATATTTATCTTGAGAAATTTATTATATATATAAAAGATATCAATTTAAAATAGTTAAAATCTTGAGTTCATAAATTTCAAATTCGAACTCCTCTCTTTAGATATATAAATATGTCCTTTAACTTGACTTGTACAAAATTGAACAAGTAAATATACACGTTCTATGTGGCATAATCAAGTAGGAAGTCACATAAGACACTAAATTGTCATGTAGGACGTCACGTAGGAAGAATGTGTCTGTTTGTTCAGTTTACACAAATTTAAGTGTCTAGTCGTATACCTTCAGAGTCAGATGACATAATTATCATTTAACGTCAAGTTAAAACACAACTTTATGTTTTGTGTCTATATGTTATATATACTCTCACCAGCTAATTTTAGTTTAATATTTTTTCCTATATCATTATAATGCTTCTTTATATTATTAAGACAAAATTAATTATGAAATTAGTTAATAAGCTTGCTATAATTGAAATCAATAACATAAAAATATGTCATAAATAAGAATTCATTCATTTGAAGACATTCCTTAAAAGAAAAATAGTAATAAAGAAAGACAAAAAGACAAAAAGACAATGACAATATACGCCAATAATTGCGTTACTCCAACAAACCAAAATTATAATATAAAAAATTACTCCCACTATCACCATGCTTTTCTTGTACACACAATACTTTCTAATAAAAATAAATTAAAATAATATTTATTCAAATCAATTTTATATGCTTTCATTAATTAACTTGTATATTCGTAAAACTTTTTGTAACTGCTTTGAAACTCTGATTAATTTAAATTCACGATTTATATGGTCTATTAGAAAAAGAAAAAACAATCGCACTCCCCTCTTTCTTATTTATATGTCCTTATTAAAAATAGATACTCCTTAATATTTGTCATTTCAAAAAACCAATGCATAAATAACATTATTCTTCCTATTTTACCCTTGTAAGTTATTAGCCTTGAAACATACATTTGCCGAACATAGAAAAACTAAGTACATTGATTCATCTTCATTTATTGAAAACTAGACCTCAAGAGAACAATATAAATGTATAATGATAAACTTACTTAATTTCTTAAGACGTGAAACTTAAGACGATGACAACTAAGTAAGAATGGAGAAAGTACATTTAATAACAATAACATACCAATCACCATGTATTTTATAATTGCGATACGAGGAGGATGATGTGTATGTATTTTTACTCTTCCAAAGGTAGAGTAATTTTTTTGATGGATAATCAATTCAAGTAAAACATATGAAAATCAAATATGAAAAATAATTATAATACTGAAGCAAGTCATGCTGATAATAATATAGATGAGTATGATAACCGAGGTAGAGAAAATAATAATAATAACAATACTAATTAAAAAAATCAGACAATACTAATTACCTACCAACTTTCTATCCTAAGTTTTCGTATTTTTATTTTATTTTTATGCAATTAATAAATTTTACCATTTATTATATTTTTTTAATATGTTAAATTTTTTTCTATAAATACCTTATAAATAAATCATAAATATTTTTCTATAGTTAGATTATAATTTATAAGTTCAAAATTCTCTCTAATTTTTATATATAAAGCCAACCAACCACTCAACTCATACACGCCTCCCTCATTGACTACTGTCTCTCTCTCTAGAAGTTTCTCTCACTACCCTCAGCTATGGCCGTCGTTGAGCCAACCGCCGACGCACCAGAAAATCCTCTCCTCCGTCGCCGCAACTCCGTTACGCTTCCTACAAAGCTCAGCTTACCTCTTCAATCATCGGCATCAACTACTACAGCTACCGCCACGTCATCGGCTTCGTCTTCGTTGACGAATTCGGTAAGCGATGAATTTGAGCTTTTCTCAATTAAGCCTGTATCGTATACTTCTCTGAGGGATCTATTACCACCGGCCGCTGTTAATTCTCCCCGGCCTTTGGCTACGGCTAACAACGGCCAATCAGGTTCTGAGATTTCAATCCGGAATCGACTTGTGAAGCAAGCCGCTTGGGCTTATCTTCAGCCGATGTCGACTTCGCCGGATTCAACCGGACGGAGCTTATTTAGCCGCCTCTGGTTTTGTTTTCCGGTTAACAATCCCGTCGCCGGAGTAATCGAATTCGTTGATCGGCACATTTTTGCTCCTTTGAGTAGAGCTGTTGATTGGATACTTCGTGCTATTCGGATCCGGAGCTCCAGATAACAACAAATACAAATAACCCGATATACAGAGTATATACTCATATTGAAATTCGATTAAAAACAATAAATAGGATCATAAATGTACAACGAATTTCATTTTTCTCTTATGTAAACCATAAAAAAAGGAAAAAAATTCAATAAAAAAATATTGATTTTTTTTGTTGTCATTTTTGATTATTTACAAATTACAATGTACAAATTTTGTTACTATTTCTAGTAATACTATTTAGTTGGAGCGTTCTATATTTGGACCGGGTAGAATCCATATTGGGATCCGAACCGGGTTTGAGATAATCCGGGTCTAGGTATCGAAGATCCTCCGGATGTACTCGGACCGTTTCCGGTTTAGAATATGGACCGGTGAGAGGAGTAAGACCGCGGAGATTGTGGTGGTTGCCTCCTATCTGATCGTGGTGATGGTGGTGGTGGTTGCCTCCTGTCGGATGACGGCTTACTTCTCCGGAAGAACCCGAATGACGATGATGATGATGATGATGGGGCCGAAGGTGGTGGCGGTCTACGAGAATGGTCAGTACCATTTCTTTGCTGCAAGAATGAGTCAAATTTTTTTTATAATCACATAAATATTATAGAGCGTGACTCGATTCTTACTAATAAGCTTAGTCAAACACCTTCGTAAGATTTTTAAGACACGCAGAGAGGAGGAAGTAACGAGGAAATAAGAAAATAGATTATGATGGTGATAGTGGGAAAATGAAGTTTTAAAATAAAGGAATGATTTGTGAATATAATTTTGTTGTTATTTTTCATTTTTTATTGAATTGTATGATTGTTTTTATGAATTTTACGTAGGGTGGAAAATAGAGAATTAAGACAACCTATGAAATTTAAACGTGTAAGATTTGTCTCATTATTAAATAAGTTCCTTGTAATTTAATGTGAAAGCTTTGTTCGTAAATACGTCACTCCATTCGTTTCAATTTATGTGAATTAATTTGTTTGAATACAAAATTTAAGAAATATGAAAAGATTGAACCATGTGATGTATGGATGTTGGACCGGCCCAATATGATTTCAAGGCCCAATAAGTAGATTTCCTAGAGCCCAATATGGAATTCGATTCAAAAGGTCCTATATTTTTGAAAATTTTGAAAAAGGACTAATCCACACACAAAACCTTTGACGAAAACAAGAAAATATGTTGTTTTTCCTAAAAGGACAATCTGGTGTACTAAGCTTATGCGTGGGGTCAAGAAAAGGGCTAAACCATAAAGGTCTATTATACATAGTCTTACTCTGCATTTCAGCAAGAAGTTGTTTTTGAAGAAAACATACGTCTACTATCTCTAATTTTTTTGAAAAAGGACTCATCCACACGCAAAACATTCACGAAATCAAGAAAATATGTTTTTTCTAAAAGGACACTCTGGTGCACTAAGAAACCACAAGGGTCTATTATAAGCTCTGCATTTTAGCAAGAGGTTAATATAGGTCCTATATCTTTGAAAATTTTGGAAAAGAGCTAACCGACACAAAACATTCCCGAAATCAAGAAAATATGTTGTTTTTTTTCTTAAAAAAAAACAGTTTAGTCCACTAAGCTTATGCGCGGGATCTAGAAAAGGACTAGACTACAAGAGTCTATTATACACAATCTTATTTTGCATTTCAGTAAGAGGTTGTTTCGAAGATAATACGTAGGAAGAGAATGTATAAGATGAAAGTACCTCAGAGCTAAGCTGCGAATCTTTTCTAGATGGAGAAGCAAAATCAAGCAATTGAAAGAACTTTGCTTGTCCCAATTCAGTGCAATTTTGCCAGTAATAAATAGCCAAGTCAAATGCCCTTGTTCTGAACTCTAGAAATCCCCTGTCAATATCTGGTTCATGCCTTGACACATATGGTTTCAATAATGTATCATATATGTATCTTGTTCCCTTTGTTTTTGGATACCATAAGTATATTATAAGTGCCAATTTTGCTTCACTGTACATTGGTAGCCTGAAATAACACAAAATGGAATGTCAAATGCAAATCGCACACCATAAGGCTTACGGTCTAGTGATATCGGTCAGAGTCTTTTGGGCGTGTGAGTTTGATTATAATCTTTTTATTTAAAAGAAGAATGTGCTATGTTGTTTAAACTCTTCAAAAATGACGACGGATGTGTCTTGGATCCTTCGAAAGTAGTGCATCTTTGAAGGATCTGACATGAGTGCGCCTTCCATTTTTGGAGTCAGAGCAACATAGGTTTCGTGTATTGAATGGAAGGCTTGGAAGTCGAGGCAATTTGCAGACTACAAAGGCGTATATAACCTAGTGATGTCAATGAGTTCTCCACGCAATAGGTGTGAGTTTGATTTTAAAAAAATAAGAATGTGAATTGAAGTTTCATGCTATGTTGTCCGGAATCTTCAAAAAAGTCAATGGGTGCATTCTGATTCTCAAAAAGTACTTCATTTTAGAGGATCTGACATGAGCGCAATAACAACATTTTTGGGGAGGCTAAGCAATGTAGGTTTCATGTATCAAATGGAAGGCCTAGAAGTCTGCAAATTCCATACACAAAAGCGTACAACCTAATGATATCAATGAGTCTTCCATGAAATAGGTGTGTGAGTTCAATTATAATTTAAAAAAAAAAAAAGAATGTGAATTGAAGTGTCATGCTATGTTGCTCAAACTCTTTTAAAATGTCGACGGGTGTGTGTCAAGTCTTCCAAAAGTGCTGTATTTAGGAGAGTACGACAAAAGCGCGCCGACATGTAGAGTTTGAGCATATTCTTAGATTTCATGTATCAGATGGAAGGCCTAGAAGTTTATTGAGTTCATACCATGTCATGAACACATCACCAATGCTCTCAAATATTCTCAACAGTGCTACAATAATCCTGAACAAGAAAAAAAATATTAGAACTAATCGAAACGATTCACCTACAATTGAGGGAAAATTAGAAGAAATGTAGCAAAATTGTTGACTCTCTTGCCAACCCAACAAACTCAGCCTCGCTCTATGTTACTCAGACTCTTTAGAAATATAGTCGAATGTGTGTCGGATCCTCCAAAGGTTATGCATCTTTTAAGGATCCGACACTGATACAACAACATCAGAGGATCCGAACAACGTAGTGTCCCTTCTAATGTAAGATACAAGTAGAAAAGGACCAAGTCAAGAAAGGAATAAAGTTCCAATAGACCAAAGTATGCTACCATTTACTTTCTAGAATCTCATTAATACTTCTTTTTCCATGTCATTTTCATATGGGTAGTTGTAAATTGCTAACTACTCTATCAATTAGTATAGACTAAAAGAATAGACTTTTGATTATCATTGGTTGACCTAAAGTTTATCTAAGGAAAATAATTTGATTAGAAGTTATAATTAGACTCTTTTTTTTAATTAATCAAAAAGCTTGAACATGTCAAAAGACTACTCACTACCAATCATTTCTACAAATCCCTTTTTGCCAACTTTGCTTTCTTGATGGTTCAACTCTCCCACCCACCCCACCCCCACCCCCTCCTCCTCCTCAATTAACAACCCCACCACCCCCAAGATAAACCAAAAATAATACTTTATCCATTTCACTTTGTTTGACACTATTTCTTTATTACAACACATTCTACGTGACCATGAGGTTATAGGTTCAAGCCTTGAAAACAGCCTCTACCAAAAATGCAAGATAAGGCTGCAAACAATAGACTCTTGTTGTCGGGCCCTTCTCTGGACCCTCTACACATGTTCAAAACTACAAGTTCCAAGAAACTCATAAGCCCACACCTTGTTATACCATTTTCACTCTACAAAATTCTGCGTCAAGTCAAACTACAACAAACGAAAAAGTACAAGAACAAAGTTATTTACCAATATTGGCACCAAAATCTGAGTTCTTCAATTTCAACTCTGTTCTTCTCAATAGTCTTATAACATTCAAAAGCAGGATATGCATATCCAAGAACCAATCTGTCAAAAAACCAAAAAAAATCACAAAGCAGAGTTCAAAAAATACACTATAAACCCCACACATACAAAACAAAAAGCAATAAAGCCCAAAAATCCAAAAGATAAAAACAGAAGGAATCATCAAAAGCAATAGTTAAAACAAGAAAACAAAAGATCACATACACTAAACTGCTGGTGATGAGTTCTCCCAACATCTTTTCTTCAAAATACCTAAACAAAAAATCAACACAAAAAACTCAAAATTTATAAGAAATACACATAATTTTTTTTATTTTTTTTATTTTTATTATTATTATTATTATTATTATTATTATTTTTTATTTTTTTAATACACATAAAAATTGAATCTTTGATCAAACTGTAATTTATTTTTTTTGGCTGAACTCAAAATGGGAGATACCCAAAAGCTAAATTACCAAAAAGAAAAACTTGGGTTCTTCAAAATACCTAAAAAAACAACAAAAACAATCAACTCATTAGCAAAAATTACAAGAAATACCCATAAAAATCAAATCTTGATCAAACTGTAAAAAAAAAAAAAAAAAAAAACTAACTTATTAAACTCAAATGAGAGGAACCCAAAAGCTAAATCACCAAAAAGAAAAACTTGAGATTTCAAAATACCTAAAAAAACAAAAAAAAAATCAACCCATTAGCACAAATTATAATAAATACCCATAAAAATTGAATCTTGAACAACTGTTAAAAAAAATAAAAATGCAAATGTGAGAAACCCAAAAACTAAAAGGAAATATGTTATATGACTAACAAAAATTAACACAAAAAAACTCAACCCATTAGCAAAAAAATCTAAAAAAAACCATAAAAATTGAATCTTGAAACTAATTTACCAAAAGAAGTTGTAATCTTTTACCTATAAGAGAAATGATTCAAAGGGGTTTAATAATTTGAAGGAATTTCAAGAACTCAAAGTGAAATTTCTGTTTTTTTTTTTATAATATAGTTACTTTTGTGCAAAGAAAGGATCTTAAATTCTGGAAAAAAAAACATATAACTGCAAGGGGAAAACGTGAAAGAAGAGGAAGATGGAGAGAACAAGTTCGTAGTATTTGTTATTATTGGAACGTGCAAGGTTTCTATATATATATACGCAATGATTTGGTAGGGTGGGTGGGGTAGACCTACTATTTTTTATTCGGTGTCTGATATTTAATTTGCCGCTCAATTAAGAAGTTTTGCGTTGATGAGTAAAACGTTTTCTAATAAAGGCGATTTCTTATTCAATAGTCGGATGATTAAAAATTTAAAGATGATTACTATTTCATTATGATCCTTATTGATTCTTATTAATTGTTATGTTTTTCTCTATTATTTTCTTGTTTTTTAATTTGAGTTTGATATACTTGAGTCGAGTATCTTTTGATAATATTTCTTTACCTTCTCAAGATAGTAATAAAGTACACATATATTTTATCTTCCCCAAATTCTTGCTTAATGGATTTCACTAAATATATTATTGTTGTTATGATTTTGATACAACAACGTATCATCTAAAATTTCTTTTTTAAAAATAAAAAATACTTACTACTATTTTATCATAATCCTTATTGAGCATCTTGAGATTCAAATTTTTTGATTAAAAATGAAAAAAATACTTATTACAACAGTATACTTTTTAAGTATCTTGACATTTGAGACTTATGATTAAAAATGTTAGGATATATATTATTTACCATGATCCTTTATAAGCATCTTGATACCCAAAACTTTTGAATAAAAATAAAATGGTACTTATTATTTTACTATGATCTATCGTCCTTATTAAATATTTGACATTTAAAACTTCTAATTAAAAATAAAGAGATATTTATTATTTTACGATTCTTATCAAGTATCTTCATATTTAAAATTTTTAATTAAAAAAATAATATAAAAAATATTTATTACTTTACCACGACTCTTAACGTGGAAAGGTGAGGGGGATTTGGCTAAAGTAATACTTAGAAGAGAAAGGCATTTGACGATTTCTTAGGAGGGACGCCTTGTATTTTATTTTTATTTGCTTTTTCAGAAAATCAGTTATTTTTATTTGTTTTTTTTAAAAAAATTAGTTTTTCTTTTCTCATATATTTTACAGGAAATTGAGTGAAAGTGGATTTCTTGGGATTTTTTTTTCAAACGGCGGGTTTAGCGGTTGAAAGTCTCGTGGTGTGATGAGATAATTTTGATAATATTTATTATTTATTCAAACAGAAAAGGTCAAAATATACCGCTAATATTTTGTATTTTTTTATTATATATATATAGGGAAGAATGTGTATGTTATTTTATCCGTACCTGAGAGATTTTTGATAGATTCTCGATTTAAATTAATTATATTAAAATTAATTTTAAAAAAATAAATAAAGTAATGAAGTAACTATATAAACTTTTTTTTCACCTTTTATCATATTAATTTATCATTTAACATCTTTGTTTGGATGGTTGTTAAGTATTATTTCATAATATATTGTATTGTATTGTTTTATTTTAATGAATATAGTGTTTGGATAGATTGTATTGTTCGTCATTATATAATATCAAACATCCATAATTTGAATGATAAACCTATAAGAAAGTAGGGTACGGGGTAGAGCTACTACGAAAAAGTAGAATAAAAGACGAATGATTATTAAATAATAAATAAAGATAAAATGAAAAAAAATATATTAAGGTAACAATGCAATTACACCAAATCGATCATTACATGAAATGGGTCTTTTCATCGTTACCTAACGATGTATTTAAACCATATGATACAATAAAATTTAAGTGACAATCAAAACAAATATTATATTTAAACTAACAATACAAAATAATACATCCAGTAACAACCATCCAAACAAGATGTAAATTAAAATTAATTTATGTAAGACCCTTGAATGTGTATATGGAAGTTTTAGGTTGTGGTTTATAGAAAAATAGAGTTGAAAATTTAAAAATATAACATAAAAATATAGGAAAATAAAGCATGAAGAGAAGTTTCATAGAAGAGAATATCAATGGAGAAATGAAGGGTTTAGTTGAAAATTATTTGCTTAATTATATTATGTTTTGGACTCAATGTTTTGTCTCAATTGGCTAGCAAATACATTATGCTTAATTTCAATGTTTTATTATTTCTTATTTTGATTTTCTGTCTGATGTATAGTATCTGCATTGAAGTCCAACAAAATCTAAAGTCGCGCATTGCAAAGCCTAATTCTCTAGATATCTCCTTCAACAAGTTTTTTTTTTTCATTTTCAAGACTCGAACTTGAAACTTCTGATTAAAGATGGGAGGATCTTGACCATAATCTGTCACAATTAACAACCTATGTTGACATTGCTTTTTTTTTTCTTTTCTTACAAGGGCTTTTATAACTACTTTCATATATCTTCTTTGGTCAAATTGACCACATTTTTTTTTATGTTTCATTGACCCACAAATAAATTAGCCTATGGTTGGTTTTATCAGCCTTTTGGAAGTTTCATGTGACATAATTATGAAGTTTCCCACACACATTAAAAAAAGAAGAAGAGGCCAACGACATAATCATAAACAACTTAAGTTATATGTAATGACGATGCGAAAAATATTTAATGTATAATTAGGGGTTAAAACATTTTAGATGGATAATATTTTTAAAAATTTATAAATTAACACACACGAAAATTTGAGATAATTTTAAAATTTTATTTCATTGCTTTAGAACTTCAAAAATGGTGTCATGAGTTGATTTTATATAGGCTATGAGTATCATTTAATAGATCATCACGAATCTAACTATATAGTTTATGTTCTAGATTCAAAGTTTGTCTCAATTGACTGCATCAAATATTACCCAAATTTATTTTCTTTGTTGCAAATTTGACCTCTTAAGTGTGAATGACTTTAATATATATTTTTATATTTCATAAATCCTAGAAGTAATTAAATTAATTAATCAATGATTTGGACTAATTATGAGCCATAGGAAGCTTCATGTCACATTATTTGAATTATGTACAAATATAGGGATCTAATTACCTTGTAGCTTACACTATCCTTTTAAACATTTTTTAGTTCCTCTTTTTACCCTTATTCCACCTGTCTTAACATTATCAGAAGTTTCGTGTTTGATGCTTTTTAAATCCTAATTAGTCAGGATTACAATAGAAATTGACGAAGACTAGGCAAAAAAAAGATAAATTATTTTGATTTCAATGTGTTTAACATAAGTTGTACTTTTGCCACTAATAAAAGCATGTTGAATTTTAAATTAAGATGGATTAAAAGAAAAGGTCACAAGTTTATTACAAATTAGTTGCAATAAAGACAAATTGGATTAATATCTTTAGCTCATATATGTACTTTTAGGATAAGAAGAAACAATAATTCAATATTTTTTCCTCTTTATTAGAACCAAAAAATATGCAAGATGAGTTTGCTTCTTCATATCAACTTGGTAGGTTTTGTCCATATATAACAATTGAATACTATTATTATTATTATTTAATATTTAATATAAACTTTGATCCATCCACTTCCTATTTATAAATACCTTCTTTTAGTTTTCCTATTTAAAGACAAACATAATTTGTTTTGTTTTAACCAAACAAATTAAGGTTGTAGCGAGGTAGTAAACCACTTTTTGATCCTTAATTATTAGGGTCTCGAGTTTGAACTCTGAAAATACTGAGTTATTTTTGATATATAGTAAGTATTTTTTCTCTTAAGTAGAATTTCCTGACGTGCATTTATTATAATCGAGATTAAAAACATATATCGGTTATCGTGTGATTTTTTTTTATAAAAAAAAAAATGCTTTATATTGAAGATAGAGGCAAAGAACTAGTGTACTTTTTATCCCATTCTAATTATAATTTAAAATGATCTCATGATCAGTGGGTATCATGATCTCCATTATGAGATAATTAAGTAGTTGTAGCTTTGAGACATGAATGGAGATTCTTAAAGAATTAATTAAGAAATAGTGTGTATAGTACGTATGCAGATCTTATCCTGTCTCGTGAAAATAAAAATAAATCGAATAAAGCCCTTAATTATATTGATTATAATTGTTTTTTCGCAAGATGAAAAGAAAATGGATCTTAACATTTTCAATCCATCGTCCAAAAAATTCACTTGCCTAGCACTGATATACATTTAGAATATACACTAATTATATACAGATTCTACATTGTGATTATATATTAGATAAAATTTCTTTTTTAAAAAAAATATTTTTTATTATAGACTGTTGGATTTTTATTTTTTTTATGTACTATCTGGTGTTCGATGTTAATATTGGAGTTCAACTTTATCAGATTGTTATGTGTAGTAAATCTCTCAAAAGATAATCACAATTCACAAACACATCTTTTTTGGGTCATTTGTAGAAGGAATTAAGGAAATAAAGGTTGGAGATGCTTGCAATAATTAAATTATATAACAATTTGGGGTTAGAGTTTGTTAAAACAACTTACTAACTATAGTAGGCCAACCTAAAAGGTGCTTTAATTTGTTATTTTCAATTAATCAAAAAATTTCATTATACTATCAATATATATGTATATAACTTAAATCCTTTCATTTGTTTGTTTTATTTTTTAAGCAATTGATGAGACAAAGGGGTCGTTCGATAGTTGGTTAGAATTATACAATTATTAATTATGTGGAATAACTTATTTTACATTCTATTCTGTGTAAGTTAATATGCTAATTTCTTCGTAGATTTCTAAATTACAAACCAAAGGAAAGATAATTATTTTATTTATGTCATCACATTGCTTTATTGATTTTTATGCCTTTATACACAAGCTAGTCTTTTGTTTGCTTGGCATACACGTAAATGGTTGACCGTAAGACTTTAAATTTGTATTTTTTTCATATCAAAACAGTTATCATATTTTTCTTTTATACGCTTTTTAAGAAAATACTCTCTCCATTTTAATTTATTTGTTAAATTTTGACTTGACACACCTATTAAGTAAATAATGATTGATATAATGAGTTTACCATTTTACTCATATTAATTGACAAGTCCCAACTCCCAAACATATTTACTCACTACATTTTTCAAAGATATTAATTCAA